CCGTCTACTCTGTGACTTGACTTCTTCTCTGAGGTGGCTGGTCAGCCCGGCTGGCCCGGAGCTGCAGGCTCTTCTTAAAGCTTCTCTTAAAGCGTCCTCCTCCTTAGGACCACAGTTTTCTCCCAGCTGCATGGAGGAAACACATCCTCCTTCACGCTGTGCTGCCCGCCCTCGCCCTCTCTCTGCCTCGAATTGGGAGCCCCCTCCTCTCGCACCTGGGAGAAGCCTCCCCCTTCCAGAACCTGCTCCTGCAGGATGCTGACCTCAGGACTCCCATGCCAGCGGCCATCCCTCCCTCCTCTGGGTAGCTGCCTAGCACCTGGAGTCAGCATCAGAGCACTTTCCACAGGCAAAATGGTGTTGGAATGGCTGTCCTCGCATGCTATGCTGTGGGGTTCTTGCAAACAGGAGCAAGATCTTTGCATCTCTCCATCTCGAGAGCTCTGCTCAAGCCTGCTTGCACGTGATATTGGTAACTAGCGCATCCTAGACACTTAGGATGTGCCAGACACATTCGAACTGGATTACGAACTTCCGTGGATTTCATGCTCACAGCAGCCGTCCAAGGAAGGCATGTTATCGTCTCCATTTTACAGATGAGGAAACTGAGGCACAGAATCAAGAAGTAATTTCTGAGTCACAGAGCTCGTAACTGAGGGAGCCAGGGTCAAATGCAGGCCTGGCAGGCAGCTCCCCACCCACGCCGCACCCAGCGAGCTCGTGACTTTCCACTAATTCTCAGCAGAGCGCAGACGAGTGGAGAACCTAATGGCGAAAGATGAGGGTTACGTAGTCCCGCCTGGAGCTGATTTATCCAGCACCTCAGAGGAATTAGAGATTGCTCTGATGTTCATTTTCTAGCTACTTAAAGTTATTCCTTCTGGTTTCCTTATCTCGGCTATTGTTCACCTTCCATGATGGTGATTTTGTTTAATCATTCAGGAGTTTAAAAACCTTTTTGTTTTAAAAGTTGGACTCTGTTTTGTTTTGTTTGTTTGTTTTTAAGATTTTATTTATTTACTTGGCAGAGATAGACACAGTGAGAGAGGGAACATAAGCAGGGGGAATGGGAGAGGGAGGAGCAGGCTTCCTGCTGAGCAGGGAGGCTGACGTGGGGCTTGATCCCAGGACTCTGGGATCACTACCCGAGCCAAAGGCAGACTCTTAACAACTGAGCCACCCAGGCACCCCATAAAGTAAGAACTCTGTTTTAACCAAAAATGATTTTAAATTAACTATCTCTGAAATCAGTCTCGTATCTACCTGAAGTAGTTCATGGTGTATAACTCCCTTTTATTAATGTCCAGGGCCATCACTGTGACTAAAAAACAGTAAGCCAGGGGCGCCTGAGTGGCTCAGTCCCTTAATAGTCTACCTTCCACTCAGGTCATGATCCCAGGGTCCTGGGATCGAGCCCCGCCCCACATCGGGCTCCCTGCTCATTGAGGAACCTTCTTCTCTTTCTCCCTCTGCCGCTCCTCCCTTCTTGTGCGCGCGCTCTCTCTCTCTCTCTGTCAAATAAAGAAATAAATAAAATCTTTAAAAAACAAAACAGTGAGACATAATCTGAGCCTGTGATGTCCTGGACATCAGTAAGAGATTTATTAGCATCTACTAAGTATGAGGCACTTCAAGTACAGTTCCTTAATTAATTGTGTAAGCATAAGATTTGCTTTGCCTTTTTTTTTTTTAACTCTTGTCTCTATTTCTGGAAGTTTCTTTAGTGTTCTTGGATCTGTAGAGCGGTAATCTCTCCCTTCTTGCTCTCGGTCTGCTGTTCCCCAGGAGACCACCCTGCTGGTGGCGGACTGTTGTGGAGGAGCTGTGGGCGAGAACGGGTAACCAGACTTGTTGCTAATATTGTCAAAATTCCCCTCCTTCCACGGGGGCCTCCCAAGGTGCCAGATAAGAGGCTTGGGAGGGGAAACATTTTGGATTTCCTCCACCAGTTGCTGTTCTAAGAGAGCGAGGCCCCTCACCATCCCTCGCCCGGCCTCTGCAGAGTGTGAGGCCCCTTCTGACCGCTAATGAGCACTGTCCTCTTCCAGTTACAACACAGGCCATATGTCAGTCATGCCTCAGGGAGGCTGGTGGCTGGGGAAGTCATGTGGTTCACTATGAGTGACCTGACATGGTCCCTCCATGCCTGCCAAGGGAATTAAGTATCTCTGTGGTCTGGGAACCCTTGGCTTTGACCTTTTGAAATGTATTGAGAAACCGTCAAGTTACCGAGGGCCTAAAGTGATTGGAACCTCTATGTTCAATTCCCCTTTAAAATGTTAGGTTCTGGGGTGCCTGGGTAGCTCAGTGGGTTAAGGCCTCTGCCTTCAGCTCAGGTCATGATCCCTGGGTCCTGGGATCGAGCCCCGCATCGGGCTCTCTGCTCAGCAGGGAGCCTGCTTCCCCCTCTCCCTCTGCCTGCCTCTCTGCCTACTTGTGATCTCTGTCTGTCAAATAAATAAATAAATAAAATCGTTAAAATGTTAGGTTCTTACAGAGTAAACAATAAAGAAAACATTCAAAAAGCCATCTTCAGAGTCAGTGAACATAAACAAACATCCACGAAGCAGGCTCCAGGCTTGGAATTATTCTGGCCTCTAATTTCGTGACATCTGGGTTCAGTGAAAAAAATGTTAAAAGCTTTTGCGAGATTATCAGTTTTCATCATTCATCCGAAAACTTGGCAGAGTTCGTCCCTGGGCTTCTGCGCCTCCGGGGGTCGGCTCCCGGCCCGGCTTTCTCGGAGGGCAAGCTGGTGTTCATCCTAGGGTTACTTTTCCTGTTTTCCTTAGCGGTCAGCGAGGCCACCGTGGAGTCCGGGCCGCAAGTACAAAGAACTGTCCCTAGAGAAGGCTGTCCCCCCGTCACCTCCCTGAAGGAGGCTCTGGGCCACTGGGGTTTCCATCTCGAGGCTCTGTGCTCAGAGTCGGAGGCCGAGGGAGTGGAACTGGTCGAGCTCGGGTCCCTCACCACGGCCAAGGGCAGGAGAGGAAGGAGAGCAGGGCTCTGAGCGGAAGGGAAGGAAATGAGCAGGCGTCAGCCGGCGGGTCTGCGGCTCACTGCTGACCGAGCGCACGAGGCTGGCTGCCACGTACGGCCTCTGTCAGGGTCTCTACTCTTTCCTCATACCTGCAAGGGCGTGTCATTTCTCCCGTTTGGCATTTGTTGGAGGCATTCGTGGGTTTCAGCCGGCAGACACTTACAAAGCGCCTGTTAAGGGAGGCCACATGATGTGGCAGGAAGAACCCCGCGTGTGAGTTAGAAGACTTGGGTTCAAGGTCAGACTCCCCTAATGCCTGTCTGTGCCCTGTGTCCCCGTCTGTAACAGTGGGACAAAGCCGCTTAGCTCTGTCTGGGCCACAGCCTTGTCATAAGGGCTGAATAAAATCAGATGAAATCGTGTGGTTAAACCCTTGGAGAAGCCGTGCAGGGTCCGATATTTATTTATTGTGCATAGCTTGGTGCTTTATGATAAAGAGCAAAGACATCTATTTTAATGCATATCTGTATTTACGTTGGTTATTCGCTTCTTGTCTATTTTTATCTTAAATTCTAGGAACTGAGATATACAAGGTTTGTTAGTCTACCTGAGGCATCAAGATGAGTCCCGCCACAATCTAGAGGAAGTCACTAAGCAGTTTAGTGCCAAAGGCATGGTCCCAACAGCCCCCTCCGCTCCGCAGCGTTCAGGGGTGTGGCCATGGTCAGGAAAGGCCTGGGAGGAGGTGGGGGGTAGCCTTTGTACCTTTGTCAGAATTATAAACTCTTACTGATTAGCTGTGTCCAATAGAAATATAATGTGAGCCATATACTTAATTTAAGATTTTTCCCATAGCTACATCTGAAAACAAAGCAAAAAGAAACAGGTGCAATTAATATGAATAATATATTTTTATTTTACCCACTGTGTTTAAAGGAGTATCATTTCAAAGCAGGTAATCAATATAAAACAATTCGGGAGAAATTTTACTCTCCTATTTTGGTGATGTTTTTGAAATCTGGTGTGTCTTTTACCCTCACAACACGTCTCAGTTCCGATTTGCCACAGTTCAACAGCTTAGGAGACCCGTGGCTATGGGGTCAGACAGCTCAGCCCTGATGGAACCAGAATAAGACGAGGCAAGCAGCAGAGGGAGAGAAGCAGCAGAGACTGGAATTCAGTGAGCACCGGCTGTGACCAAGCAGGGCCAGGACTAGCATTCATTCACTGGACGAACAAATTTATAGGATCCTGTTTTTATTTGGAATTTTGATATTTTGCTCATCATGAATGTTTTTGCATTAATTTGGATTTTTTAAAAAATGCATTACAATATGATTTACCTTCATATTGTAGTGTTGTGTTCTGGTGACTGTTATATTTTTCATGCAAAGCAAGTGCCACACACACACACACACACACACACATACACATATACACACCCAGCCTTAGTGAGGTGCTGGCTCCAGGCCCTTCCTGTGAACTTCCTAATACTCCATCCGGGGCATGAACTTGAACCAAACTGAGCTATTTACCAAAAGCAGGAGCCATCTCCTCTAATTTAAGTAAGCCTTGGGCATTTATTTTGTTCAATGAATTTTCAACTGAATTCAAGTTAGGAATAAAAAAATCTTTGGAAAATAATTTGAAATTCAGACTGAATCTGTGAACTGAAAATTTTGAAAATTTTTCGAGCGCAAACTATAACACAGGAGAGAGTTCATCGGCCTTGATTTCCTGGTCAAGGGGACCCTGGACCATCGCGCCCCGGCCTCCCCTCTTGTAGGGGAAAAGAATGAAAAGGACAGTGTTTTGAGAAGACTGTCAGAGGCCTCATTTCCTTCCCACATTTCCCACATTCCACTTATTCTCCAGCCTTTACGGGGTACTTATCTGCAGGCTCTCTCCGTAATGATTATAGTGGGAATGTTGTGTTGGAAAAAACTTTGATATTAAAAGAAAGGTCAAAAATTGCTTTTTACAGTGGTACCGATTTCAAACAGAATCCTCTTTCTTTTAGGGAACTTAGAAACAAAGCAGATATTCAATTTGGAGAAAATGGAACAACGATTTCTGCCGTTAGCAACAAGGCCTACGTTTTTGAACGAAATCAATCTGTTGGAGACCCTAAAGTTGACTTAATTAGAACGTTAAATATTCCCGCGGTGGTAAGTAGGCATTTTCGGTATCGTTATTGTGGCTTTGAGAAGCAAGGAAAAAGCTCAGTTAAGGCTGTTACGTTTTTACATTTAAGAGTTATGAAGTTATGTTAAAAATAAACATCTATAAAAATATAAATACATTTTTACACTTCCCTTCCTTAGAGTTCATCTGAGACTTTTTCCAGACTTTTTCAAATGGTGACATAATCTCAAAGATGTTTTCAATGCTCCAAAGACAAGATCTTTTCAAATGGTGACATAGTGCAAATTTTAGGCCTCCCCACGCCCAGTTTCTTGCTGTGTGTTCAGGATCAGCTCTTGTGCAGATGAATATGGATTTTTTAAATAGGGATTTTGGGGGGGGGCGCGGAGAGTGAATAATTTTTTAAAGATTTATGTGCCCCTTGTTTTGGTTCGGAAGGTCCAGCAACAGAATTGGCATGCCACTTCTTAGTTTAGGTTTCGATCTTAGATTTTTTAAATTCCCAAAATATATACTGACTCCCCCCCGCCCCCCGCGCGCCTTAATAAACAGCAGAGACGGGGCTGAGTGCAGCCCAGCAGGATTTCCCTGGGCTCAGTTACAAGGACCAGCCCATCTGAGAAAGATGCAGGAGACCCAGGGGACAACTTCCCCGTTCGCCTACAGCAGCCCCCTCCGAGGCTCCCACTCTGAGTCCTGGGCGGCAGCGACCCATGCCGCTGGACACTCAGGCGGACCCAGGACCCAGACAGGACCAGAGCCTGGATTTGACCTCGTCCCGCTGCCTCGGCGGCGGGGTCCGGCTCAGAGGGGCGGCGGCGCCACCTCGTGGCCGGAGATGCCAGCGCGGTTACAAGCGTCTCTCCGTCCCCGGGCGTGGGGAGGGGACCCGAGCCGCCTGCGGCCGGGCGTGCCGAGCTCACACTTACAATCCACAGGGCCCAGAAGGGCCAGGACCTGAAGGGTTTTGTTTTTGCACACGCAGCCAGGGAGGCTCTTTCTGCCTGGCTTTGCGGCTGTTGGGTCTCAGCATCGACTGTTGCGCTTCCAGCCCGCTCTGCCGGAGGGAGGGGCCGTAGCAGCGCGGGGGGAGGGGTGGAGGGGAGGGCGGGGGGGCTCTGCCCCCTGAACCTGCCTGTGCCCCTCAGACTGCGATGGAGTGGGCGCAGCTCCGCTTCCTCCGGGAGCTCATCGAGGCCCTGCTGAAGGCCTACCAGCAGACGCTCTTCGTGACCCACACCGTGCACGAGCTGCTCTGGGGCTACAAAGACGAGATCTTGTCCCTCATCAACGTCTTCAAGCCCGAGATCTCGCCCTATTTTGGCCTGTACTATGGGGTAAGTTGATGTTTCTTTTCAGAACCTCTTTATTGAGCTGGTGTGGGGGGGAGGGGCACTGCGCGCCAGATTCCGTCTTCGCTTTGGGCTTCTTCCAGAAGACCTGGCATTCTGGACGTCTTGTAGAGTTCGTGAAAAATAAGAAAGTATTTAATTTTTAGGGGGAAAAAAGTGCTTCTCCCACAATTCCAACATGCTACCAGCACCGACTCTGAACGAGAGCAGTTATGAAAAATACATAGAGTGACTGTGCCACTCATCAGGTGGGATCTTTCCAAGTGTCATAAATTTTAGTGATCAAGGCCAAGTCTCCACCGAGCCCGTGCGTCACCTGACAGGGACAAATAAACGAAACAGGCACATGTAATCCATAAGGGGTGGTGGCTCCATGCTACATTTTCAGATGTGCCATTCACCAAAGAGTCTGGATGATCTGAAACTGTGTCGCTCATCTGTGATTTCTTATGCTCGTAAGTAGAATTTTGTGTGGTTCCTGGCAGATTTTATTCACTTTGACTTGAAATAAAAAAAAAAAAAATTTCAGGTTTCAGGTAATTACTGTTCAAAGCATATGTTATTGCTGCCTGAGTTTCAAATGCATTTTAGTTCAAAGGAATTTTGAAAATCCGTCTTCCCTCCACCAAAAATAAATAAATAAATAAATAAAAATCAAAAATAAAAACCTGTGTTTTTGAAATGGATAGTGAGAGGTTGGTAATGACAAACTTAAGAAGAAAGTGTTAGATGAAGGGTGAGGTCTGAGACTGTGATGCATTTCCTCATCTTTAAGTTTGTGGTTATTCCCTGGTTCTCACTACTCAAGAACCTCACTCTTATCCTGTCATCTTCTAGCATGTTCCTCCATATCTGTGGCAAAGGCTGATAATACTGCCCCTGTGCCGTCAAGGGTATACAAACCTTGGACACCATCCAAACAAAATAGTAAAAAAGTTTTTAACATGATTTATGTAAGAGTTGGAGGTCCTGGGACTAGCGCTGGGCTGAGCCTGAATCCTTCACTCTGGGTGAGCTTGATAAATGCTCCCTAGAAGATCCCATCTGATAGGAGCCCAGCTTCCGTAAGGCCAGAGGAAGCACCAATTTCTTCTTAAACTGTGGCTGGACCTCCCTTCTTGAAAATACTTGAGGAGAACTTCCAAGGAGAGAGAAACGCAAGCAGTCTCCATGCCCAGCACAGAGCCCGACTCAGGGCTCAGAGCTCACAACCTGATATCACGACCTGACCCCAAATCAAGAGACAGGTGCTTAGCTGACTGAGCCACCCACGTGGCCCAACAAAGCTTTCCTTAAGGCCCTTCGGGTCCCAGTGACTTCTCTCCACCTGCCAGGTAGATCCTGTCCCTAAGACCTCAGTATTTTTTTTGGCAACTTTCCATTGTATAGCCGCCTTTTTTTTTGTTTTTATATCATTGACTTCATCAGACTTATAACTAAGATCCTTCTGTATCTCTTTAAAATGTAATCCATGTTTATGGACTCGTTAAGAAATTGGCATTTTTTGCTTTCCCGAGGCAAGGATGTGTTGTTTTATGTATTTCTTTCTTTCTTCCTTTCTCTGGCCTTGCCCTTTGCCACTCCTTGCAGACACCACCATATCCTCACAGGGCCCCGCTAGAGAAAAGCCCTGTCCCATTGCTCAGTAGATCATATGTGGTGTGGGTCTCCCACAGCCAGGAACAGAGCATAAGACCTGCAAACAGAGGGCCTGGATGGACGTTCTGACTTTTTCACTTCATAACTGTGGGGCTATTTCTGAATCTTGGTTTCATCATGTGTGACTTAAGGCTAAAAGTGTCCACGGTTCCAAAGCTGTTTTGCGAGGCTAAGTGAGAAGTCCATAAAAATTCTTCCAAAACTACAGATCACAGTATGCATTTCAGGAGTCGCAATCCTTTCCCCCCATGCCTGGCTCCAGAGAGGACCCTGAGTTCGTATGAGTGACTCGTGAATCTTTCCATTTGGGTTCCAGACACACTACCTGAGGTTGTGTTGGGGAAAAGGCAGTTTCTCTTACCGGTTTGTCATCTGCTCTGGTCAAATACTGATTCTTCAGCCAATAGCACAGGAGTTCACACCTGCGCCGCCATCCATCCGAAGACCGGGACAGGCTGCGTGGGGGGAGGCACACCACCCTTGGCACCCACTCTTTTGCCCCTGCCTGAGCCTGGCCGAAATCTTTTCTGACTCCTGGTGGGCTTGTGGGAGCCTTCCCCTTGGAGGTACCAGGCCATTGAGCGCTCTTCCTCCAAAGACTCTAGTGACAAGGTAGCCAGACGATTACTGGGGAGGGACCAGGTGCGAGCACAAGCAGGATAAGTGATGCAGACATTGGCACAGAGCTTCTGAGAAGGAGGACCAGGTTGAATGCCAGATGCTCACATTGCATTTTGCAGGGCCAATCAGCGTGGTTTTACCCATTGATTTTAGGGCATCTCTGGTCTTGGCATTAGAGCACACGCGCACCTCCCACTGGAGGTGGGTTCTGGGGTATATAAAATTCTAGTTGTCAGAAAGTGCCTTTGAGAGGTCAGCCCATCCTTCGGGGGTAGGGGTGGGGGTCAAGCTTCCGTTACGGTCGTGGTAGGACTGTGGTGGTCCTAGCTCAGGGCCCCCCTCCATCTCCCACAGTAATATGTTCCTTGCACCCAGTGCACATCCGTGCCAGGACAACATAAAACCTCTTTATTCCTGCTTGTCCTCAAAGAACAAACGTTCCAGCAAGAGACAAGCATTCTCATGCAGTGTCTGACTCTCGGGCAGAAAACAGCTGGGGAAAACCCTTTCTGAATTTCTGTGAAATATTTAAATGCTTTTCTACTTTGCTTAGCCCCTATCTGAGTTAAGTGGAGGACTTTAGGAATCAGCATCCGTTCAATTTTTTATAAAATTGGTGGTTTGGCATTTTTTTAAGTGAAGTATTTGAATTTTCTCTAAGTTGGTATAATGTTCACAGTGCTCTCCCTAAAATGTCATTTTTCTCGTATCTTAAAGTCATTTGAAGCTTCAGGTGGGGAATACGATGTGACCATTATGGAGGTGGACTGAGTTGATATATTGACATAGTTGGTGCGATTATGTTAAGTGATGGAAACAAGAACCAAAGTAGGCAAAACACATGAGAAGAGAATTCACAAAGAGTCTGAATTTTTTTAAGGCAGAGCTGAATGATGTGAGAAAAGGGTTCAACCTCAGGGAATAGAGAAATGCAAAAAGAGATAAGAAATCTTGTTCATTTTGGCTTCATCTAATTAGCAGAGCTTAACGAAAGCAACTTGGGGAATGTAAACTGATTGACTCTGCTATTTCCACCACCTTCTAGCCGGCTGACCTTGAGCAACTTGATAAAATGTATCAAAAGGCTTAAACATGTTGGTGTTCTTTTCTCTAGTGATTTTATTTCTATGGGTCTTTGTAGAAAACAAAAGTACTGACAGTGCTTTTAAGCATAAAGATATTCATACAATATTATTTGTAGTAGCAAAAAAATTCAAAATTAAATGTCCAATAATAAGAGAATAATTAATTATTTCTACATAATGTTGTGGAGTCATTAAATTATACCTCTGAAGAACTTCTGGTAACAGGGGAAATATGTTAAGTAAAAAAGTGTGTGTGGGGGGGGGGCGCCTGGGTGGCTCAGTGGGTTGAGCCGCTGCCTTCGGCTCAGGTCATGTTCCCAGGGTCCTGGGATCGAGCCCCCACATCAGCCTCTCTGCTCAGCAGGGAGCCTGCTTCCTCCTCTCTCTCTTTGCCTGCCTCTCCATCTACTTGTGATCTCTATTTGTCAAATAAATAAATGAAATATTTAAAAAAAAAAGATATAATTCACTTATCATAAATTCACTATTTTAGAGTGGACAATTTAGCAGTTTTTAGTATAGTCACAAGATCATGCAACCACCACCACTAGGTAATTTTAGAGTATTTTTGTCATCCTCCCCCCCCAAAACCCCATAATCAGTAGTCATCTCCATTTCTCCCGTTCCACTGATCTACTTTCTGTCTCTATGGATTTGCCTGCAAATCTATAGACATTTTTTAATAGTTAAAAGGTTTGTGTCTTTTCTGGTTTTCTTTCTGCTTCTGCAAAGAAAAGTAAGATCATGCTTTTTGTTTGAGACAGAACACAAGAAATCCCCCCACACATGTGCGCAACCTCTCTCCTGCCCCTTTGGGGGTGCTGGGACCGCTGGTGCTAGACAGGAGTGGCCAGGCTGGCCCCAGCTGAGAGAGGAGAAGAGTCAGGGCTCTGTGTGGGAGCTTCTTCAGAGCCAGAGAGGAAGGGAGTTTGGGAATGGAGCTTGGCTTTGTTGCGCAAAAAATAATATTAAAAACCTCAACATACATGCCCGCTCTCCAGATGGGGCCAAGAGGCACTGCCTCTGATGGACCCATCTCTGGCAGTTGGACATTCATATGCAAGTTGGACATTCCTGTAAATGGAATCATACAATATCCCACCTTTGTGTCTGACATTTTTTATTTAGCATCGTGTTTACCAGGTTCATCCACGTTGTAGCAGGTATCAGCCCTTAATTCCTTTTATGGCTGAGTTCTATTCTGTTTTACGCATAGACCATACTTTGCTTATCTGCTCATCAGTTGTTGGGTGTTTGGGTTCTTTCTACATTTTGGCTCTTAAGAATAATGCTGCTCTGAACATTTGTGCACAAGCTTTGTAGGGACGTTGACTATCTACCTGGGAATGGAGTTGGATTTGGGGTCCTATGGTAATTCTGTTCGACTTTTTGAGGAACCACCAAATTGTTTTCCGCAGCAGCTACACCATTTTCCATTCCCACCAGCAGTGTGTGAAGGCTCCCATTTCTCCAGATCCTCACCAATGTTTGTTATTTTCCTTAAGATTTATTTATTTTAGAGAGAGAGAGCATGAATGGGAGAGGCAGAGAGAGAGGGAGAGAGGATCTCAAGCAGACTCCACAATGAGAGCGGAGCCTGACACGGGGCTCAATCTCATGACCCCGAGATCATGGCCTGAGCTGAAACCGAGAGTTGGACGCTTTACTGACTGCACCACTCAGGCGCCCCATTTTCCTTTTTTTCTTTTATCGCCATCCTGGTGGGTGTGAAATAGTGTTGTGGCTCTGATTTGCATTTCCCTGAAGACTGATGGTGTTGAGCATCTTTTCATGTACTTGTTGGCCATTCAAATATTTTGGAGAAATGTCTCTTCAAATCCTTTGTCCATTATTTAATTGGGCTCCTACTTTTTAAAACCATATGTAATAATATGATTCATATGGCATTTAGTCAAATAGTCACCGTATTCCTGGTTCAGTCTTATGTAACAATTACACCCAGATAGGATGGTTTTGTGAAGCTTAAGTTTCTCAGTTACTGTATCGTCAGGGTTCTCCAGAAAAACAGAATCAGTAGGAGATCTAGATCTACTACCTGTATCTGTAGTATCTATCTAAGAGATTTATATGTATTAAGGAATTGGCTTATGCAATGGTGGGGGCAGCAGGTGGCCGGTCTGAAATCCATAAGACAGGCTGGCAGACTAGAAACTCAGGCAGGATTTCTAAATTGCATAATTGGGAATTCCTTTTGTCCAGCAAACTTCAGATTTTGTTTTTAAGACCTTCAACTGATTGGATGAGTCCACCCACATTATCAGTGGTAATTTACTTGAAGTCAACTGATTTTAATATTAATCATATCTACAAAATACAACACTATCTAGACTAGTGTCTGACCAGGCAACTGGGCACCATATTCTACCAAGTTGACACATAAAATTAACAATCATGGTTTCTTAAAATGATCCTATTCACTCATTTTCAGAAAAATGGGACTAATGATGGAGACTATGTTTTTCTAACCGGAGAAGACAATTACCTTAACTTTACAAAGATTGTGGAATGGAATGGAAAAACGTAAGTGTACCAGTTTACTAGTGTAATTATTTTTTAAATTTCTGTTTAAATTGAATGTCCATTTATATATTATTTCAAAAAATACTAACGCTGTCATTTTTTTGCATGAAAACTCTATAAATATGTAAAATATCTTTGTAATTACTATTGTATAAATCAAGATTTGGGCAACACACTTTATAAATTAAATATCAGTGTTTTGTAGACTGCTCATGGCGAGGCATGCGTTACAAGCAGGGAAAACTTTCACTTTCCACGTGGTCATTGAATGATTTATAGCTACAGCACAAATACTTTAAAACCACTTGTTTTGGGGGGAGAGGGAAGAGTTTCTCTTTTTAATTTAGTGATTGTGGATTGTTCACATGTTTTTCTTTAAGGATAAAAATACATGTGAGTTCACCATCGTGGTATTCCAGAAATCTATTTTAACATTTATAACTTAAACTACTTCCAAAAAGTTGCTGAGACAACTTGCAATAAAGCTACGTATAAGCCAAGATACTTTAAATCAGAGGAATTAGAAACCTTGGAGAGAAAAGGAGGGTAATTCTTCAGGGACAGAAGTAAGAGGAACTCTGTTCTTGAACATTAAATTTACATATAAGCTTCACAGAAATATGGGCCAAAAAAACTGGTGTGGAATATAAGGGAACCTCTCTGTACTACCTTTGCAACTTTTCTGTAAATCTGAAACTATTTTTAAATAAAAAGTTTATTTAAATTTTAAAAAGCACCCATGTCTGTGTACATAAACATACATTTGTGTATACACACTTCAGAATAGGTCAGATCCCTTAAAGAATATGTGAGAAGCTGGTAATAGTGTTGCCCCTGGAGGGGGAAACGTGGATGGCCAGGGCACTGGCCCCAGGGAGATTTACTAAAAGTGGATTTTGTTTTAGACTCAATCTGTTATTTTCTTTCTAATCTTTTAATAGCACAGTATTATCCTTTTAAATGTGTATCACAATTACTGATACAGTTATAATATAATGATACAGTGTTTGGTATATTGGACTTTTTTTCTGATTTCTGTGTGTTCTACCCTCAGATTTTTATGGTTCATATTTAATAATATTTTTCTGACAAAATTGAAAGCTGTCTATTTGTCTCTTCTCCCAAACAGAACACTAACTACCAATTTTGTAACATATTACACCCATCTTCCGTGCTATTTCACATTCTTTGTAAGCCAAATATAAGTAAAATGTTTATTATGTTTATAGTAAATAATTAATAAACCTGTTTTATTAAATTTCCTTTTTTAGTTTTCTGGGCAATTTTACTGAAATTCTAGTTAGTTAACCTACTGTGCAACATTAGTTTCAGGTGTACAATATAATGATTCAGCACTTCAACATACGACACCCAGTGCTCATCACAGGTGCCCTCCTTAATCCCCATCCCCCATCTAGCCCATCCCTCCGGCAGCCCTGTTTGTTCTCCGTAGTTAAGAGTCTCCTCTGGTCTGCCTCCCTCTGCTTTATTTTTCCCTTCATCTATATTCACTGTTTTGTTTTCTTAAATTCCACAGACAAGTGAAATCATATGGTATCTGTCTTTCTCTGACTTATTTTGCTTAGCCTAATGCACGCTAGCTCCATCCACATAATTGCAAATGGCAAGATTTCATTCCCTTTATGGCTGAGTCATATTGCATTTTGTATATACATGTACCACCTCTTCTTTATCCATTCATCAGTTGGTGGACATTTGGACTCTTTCCTTAACTTGGCTCTTCTTGGTAATGCTGCTATAAATACTGGGGGGCCTGTGTCCTTTTGAATCTGTATTTTTGTATCCTTTGGGTAAATACCTGGTAGTGCAGTTTCTGGGTGGTAGAGTAGTTCTATTTTCAACTTTTAGAGGAACCTCCGTACCGTTTTCCAAAGTGGTTGTACCAGTTTGCATTCCCACTAACAGTGGAAGAAGGTTTCCCTTTCTTCACATCCTCACCAATATCTGCTGTTTCCTGTGTGGTTAATTTTAGCCATTCTGACAGGTGTGAGGTGGTAGCTCTTCGTGGTTTTGATTTGTATTTCCCCAATGATGAATGATGTTGACCATCTTTTCATCTGTCTCTTAGCCATCTGCATGTCTTCTTTGGAAAAACTCATGTCTTCTGCCCATTTCTTAACTACACTAAAAATATATATATATTCTGCTGCTTTAGGGTGAAAAAATATATTCATACTATATAAAAAAACATTTATATGTTTTTATATAATAATATATAATATATATTAGACATGTTATATAATATATTAGATATTATTTATCTATATAGATATATAGATAGATGATATCTAATAGATATTGTATATCTAATATATATCTAATGTATAATATATAATATAGTATTATAATATATTCTCTATATATCCCCTATTCTTTTCTCTCTATATATATTAAGTCCATCTGGTCCAGTGTGTCATTCAAAGCCATTGTTTCCTTGTTGATTTTCTGCTTAGTTGATCTGTCCATTGCTGTAAATGAGGTGTTAAAGTCCCCTACTATTACTGTATTGTTATCAATGAGTTTATGTTGGTTATTAATTGATTTGTTTAATTGGGTGCTCCCACATAGGGGGCATAGATTTTATAATTGTTATGTCTTGTTGGATAGACCCCTTTTATTATGATATAGTGCCCTTACTCATCTCTTGCTACACTCTTTGGTTTAAAATCTAGTTTGTCTCATATAAGTATGGCCACTCCAGCTTTCTTTTGATATCCATTGGCATGACAAATGGTTCTCTATCCCCTCACTTTCAATCTGCACGTGTCTTTAGGTCTAAAATGAGTCTCTTACTCTTAATCATAGGAAACAAATTGACGGTTGCTGGAGGGGAAGAGGGTGGAGGGATGGGGTAACTGGGTGATGGAAATTAAGCGGGGGGCACATGATGTGATGAGCACTATTACATGAGACAGATGAATCACTGGCCTCTACCTCTGAAACCAACAATACATTATATGTTAATTTTTAAAAATAATAATAAATAAATAAATATAAATAAACAACTACAGAGGAAATAAATAGATAAATAAACATCACATGCACAGAAAAAAGAAAAGAAAATAAAGAGTCTCTTGCAGGCAGCTTATTGATGGGTCTTATTTTTTCATCCATTCTGATACCCTGTGTCTTTCGATTGGCACATTTAGTCCATTTACATTCAGAGTGATTGTTGGTGATACAAATTTAGTGCTGTTGTGTTACCTGTAAAGTCAGTGTTTCTGGAGATTTTCTCTGTTCTTTTCTAATCTTTGTTGCTTTTGGGCTTTCTTTCCCACTCAAAGAGTCCCCTTTAATCTTTCTTGCAGGGCTGGTTTAGTGGTCCTGAACTCCTTTAGTTTTGTATGTCCGGGAAACTCTTTATCTCTCCTTCTATTCTGAATGACAGCCCTGTGGGATAAGGTATTCTTGGCTGCATATTTTTCCTTTTTAGCACATTGAATATATCATGCCACTCTCTCTGGCCTTTCAAGTTTCTGTGGACAGACCTTCAGGGAACTTCATGTGTCTACCTTTGTAGGTTAGGGTTTTTTTTTTTTCCTTACTGCTTTCAGGATTTTTTTCCCTTATCTCTGCATTTTGCAAATTTTACTATGACATGTCTTGGTGTTGGACAACTTTTGTTGATTTTGGTGGGAGTTCTCTCTGCCCTCTTGATTTAGATGTCTCTTTCCTCCCCCAGATTAGGGAAGTTTTTAGCTATAATTTGCTCAAATAAACCTTCTACCCCTTTTTCCCTCTCTTCTTCTGGAACTCCTAAGATATACGTGTTATTACACTTTATGGAGTCATTGAGTTCCCTAAGTCTGTGTTCATAATCCAACATTTTTCTTTACAGCTTCATTGTTTTCCGTAATTTTATCTTCTACATCACGTGTTTGCCCCTCTGATTCTTCCGTTCTTGTGATCATTAAATCCAGCTGGTTTTGCATCTTGGTTATGGCATTTTTAATTTTGCCCTGACTAGTTTTAGGTCTTTTATGTCTGAGCTAAGGGACTCCCTGATGTCTTCTATGCTTTTCTCTAGCCCAGCTAGTATCCTTATGATTATTGTTTTAAATTCTGGCTCAGGCATATTATTTATATCTGTGTTGATTAGCTCCCTGACTGTGAACTCTTCTCACTCTTTTATTGAGGATAAATTCTTCCATCTTGGCATTTTGTCTAGGTCTCTGTCTTCTGTGTTATGAAAGCCTGTTATGTTTCTTGCTTCTGAGATAATGACTATATTAAGAGGAGGTCCTATACTGTCCAGGGACTGGAGCTTCAGGAGGTGTCTCTGTTACGTGCTGTGCACATTCTGCTGTTGTGTTTTGGCTGCTCTTTTTGTCAGGTCAGGCCTCTGTAGGGTGTCTCCTTGCTTGCAGTGGGGACTGTTTGGACCCTGTCCAGTGTGCGGTGAGCTTTAACTAGGTGTGTTTTGTTCTGCCTGTTAGGAGAGATTAGATCCTGTTTTCCCTAGAGCTGAAGCTTTGCAGTGCTCTGTGGTCAGTAGACTTGGTGAGCATGGAGGGTTTGTGCTGGTCCTCTGGGGGGCCGACATCCTGCTGCTCTGATTCTCAGGCACCCCTGCCCTGGTTCAGAAGCACTTGTAGAGAGTAGGGGGACTTGGTGTAAGCAGCTCAAGCCTTCACTGTGGGTGTGGTGCTGCTCACTGAAGTCTGTCTGTGCTGATGTACAGGGGAGAAAACTGGTGGCAGCCTGCTCTCTCATCCCCAAAGAGGGGCATGCACGCCCGCCATTGTTCAGGAAGCCTCCAAGAAGAGCAAACACTCTCCCCTCTTTTGTCTCAGATTTCCCTCATGTCCCTGCCTTCACCTTGTCAGTGTCTGAGCCATCTGCCCACCCAGTGGCATTGTGGCTTTTGTCTCAGGACCGCCAGCTGGGTTTCAAAACTCCAAATTTTAGGGACCCAGCATGGCACAGATGGGCACTGATCCTCTCGGGGAGAGTCTTGCCATACTGCAGCTGGTGCCAGTATGTCCCAGAAGGGCAGTCACACGCACGCCCAGGGGCTTCGAGTTTACAGTAAAGCACAGTAAAAAGCCCGCAGCTGGGTTAGTGGCCCGCAGCAGGTGTCTCTGCTCCTGTGCTGATGAACGGGACAGCACATTAGCACCTGCTGGCTCCTTTGTCTCTAGAGAGGCAATGCCACTTCTCCCAAGTGCACTCCAAGAAGGGGAACCATCTCTCCTCGTGCCACCCAGGGGATCCTCCGACCACACTGTCTGCTCCTGGGCCTCCGCCCTCCTTCCCCACAGGAGCACCGCTAAGCCCGCGAGGCTTCACCCCAGCAGTGGTGCAGAATTCTAAAACGTTAGATGTAAAAACTTGTGATTATCAGCCCCTCTCGTTTTCCCCGTCAGTGGTTTTGGGAAAGTGTTTTTCTTGTGTGATAACCTGCAGCCTGTGCCCCTTTTCTGTCTCTCTTTCTCTCTCTGTGATCAGGGGCCCCCCTCCCCTCAGCACTGGCGATTCTTTTTTCCCCAAATCACGTCCCCACATCTCCTACCTTCCATGATGTGGCCCCTTTTCTCCCTCTAGTTGTGCAGTTTGTTCTGTCAGTCCTCAGATTGGTTTCCTGGTGTTCTGAGTGATTTGCTGTTTAGCTAACTGTGTTTGAGAGACGGGGCAAGCACGAGGTCCTCTTCCTACTCTGCCATCTTAAGTCCATCCTCAAGAGCCGATCATACCTATCTCGAACTCTGCTGTGAGTGGACTAGCTCTGAACAAGGCTATGGTGCATGCTAAACTGAATCACTATTTTAAGCAAATGAGTATTTCTAAACCGCTACATAGGATATTCTTTTTTGCAGGAAGGAAAGGGGGATTTTTAGACGTTGCCTCTATCAGAATTGATTTGGGGATCAGGTGCCTACCCTCCTGATCCAATCCCTAACCAGAGTCCCCCTTGTGTCTGCGTATAAATAAGCTTCTGTGGGTAGTTGGCTCCCAATTAAGGCTTGAAAAGTCCCGACCATCTGTAAAGATCTAAAATAGAATGTGATAGTCTCCTCTTCCTTGTGCTCTTCAATCACAGGTCCCTTGACTGGTGGACAACAGACAGATGTAATATGATCAATGGAACGGATGGAGATTCTTTTCACCCCTTGATAGACAAAGAGGAAATTCTTTATATCTTCCCATCTGAATTTTGCAGGTAAGAACTTTCCAGATAAGTTATTTGATTGTAGGACCACCAAAAGGGTGAGGAATATAGGCAGCTACCCTCCGTAGGCCTGGACATTTCTGCTTAATCAGTGACAAATGCTGGGGTGCCTGGGTGGCTCAGTGGGTTAAGCCTCTGCCTTCAGCTCAGGTCATGATCTCAGGGTCCTGGGATCGAGCCCCGCGTCGGGCTCCCCGCTCAGCGGGAAGCCTGTTTCTCCCTCTCCCTCTGCTGCTCCCCCTCATGTCTCTCTCTCTGTGTCAAATAAACAAAATCTTAAAAAAAAAAAATTCCTGACAAATGCTGGCGGCGTGTTGAGAGATGGTTGGCGTTGCGGTTCACGGTACAGGCTCCAGAGCCCGGCTGTGCCGGTGGATTTGAACGCCAGCTCCAACTCCTACAGCTGTGTGACCTTGGGAAGGTCGTCCAGCCACCCTGTGCCTCACTTTCCTCATTTGTAAAACAAAGATAGAAGCAGCTGCCTGCCTCGGGAGTTGTCCTCGGCACAGATGCGTCACTGTCAGTGAAGCGCTTCTCCCGGGGCCCGCCGGACCGTGTCCGTGTCCAGAGGCGGCTCTTAGTGACTACGACAGGCGCTGTCCAGTGTGATAACGGTCAGCAGTCAGCTGACCAGGGGCTACGCAGGAGATCACTCAGACCGTTGTGTCTAGTTCAAGTTTGCAGGCATTTGCTGAGCTGTCACTTCCCTTAGATCATACCTGCTCCCACTTGCCCTGTAAGCTCTCCCTCTCTCCCCCCTGCTCCTTCATGATTCTGGCTCCTCTCTGGGAGGAAGGCATCCTGCTCTCCATCCAGATTCCTGTCCCCCCATCAGCCCCTGCCCTTTCTTCCCCCGTCACCCCAAACTGCCTGAACAAATGGCTGACTCGCCCCGCCTCCACATCCTCCCCACTTACCCCGAAAGCCCTTTCATGGAGCTCCTCAAAATCCCAAGGGGTTTAGTCTCATTTGACACTGTCGGTCCAGTGCTCTGAAGAATGGCTGTTCTGGGGTTCCGTGGCTCACACGATTGCAGCGCCTGGCCGGCCAGTCCTGCTGGGGACAGCGGTGGCATCATAAATCTACCCCCTCCTGCGTCCACTGTGATGTCTCCCCAGAAAGAGCTCTGGCATCAGCCCCCACCGTTCCGTCCCTGCTGCCCGTACCTCGTTCCTGGCCTTTCCAGCTCCCCCACAGGACACCACAGTCCGCCTCTGGCTGCTTGCCCTTGATCGTACGTGTCTGTGGAAGGACAGAAGGGTCAGAAATGCCGTGGAACGCAGTGAGTGCAATGAGGCAACCTAGAAGTGCCATAAGGAGGCTTTTTTTTTTTTTTTTAGATTTTATTCATTTATTTGACAGAGACCACAAGCAGGCAGAGAGGCAGGCAGAGAGAGAGGAGGAAGCAGGCTCCCCGCGGAGCAGAGAGCCCGATGCAGGGCTTGATCCCAGGACCCTGAGATCATGACCTGAGCCAAAGGTAGAGGCTTAACCACTGAGCCACCCAGGCACCCCCGTAGGAGGCTTTTTAAAAGACTTAGTGCAGAGGAAACATGTTCTTATCTGACACGACCACTTTTTTTTTTAAGATTTTTAAAAATTTATTTATGATAGAGTGAGAGCGGGAACACAAGCAGGGGGAGCTGGAGAGAGAGAAGCAGGCTCCCCTCTGAGCAGAAAGCCTGATGTGGGACTCGATCCCAGGACCCTGAGACCATGACCTGAGCCGAAGGCAGACACTGAACAACTGAGCCACCCAGGCGCCCCCGACATGACCACTTTTGATGGGCCATTTGACAATGTTCGTAAAGCTGAGGACACACAGACGCCATGGTGCCCCACTGCTCTGTGTCAGCTCCTTGGCCTGGACAACGCCTGTGTGGACCTGTAAGGAGACGTGCACGGAAAAGTTCATCTCAGTGTGGTTTTAGGAGTGCAAAATCGGAAGCAACCTAAGGCACTCTAAAAAGGAGAACATAAAATTGTGGTGTAGCCATATGATGGGATACCAGAAAGATTTAAAATACAATATATCTTATATTTAAAATATAAATCTTAATAACATAATATTGAACGAAGAAGCAAATTACAGGAAGAGAATGCGGCGTGCTGTTTATATAACACTTCAGTAGAGCAGACCGTGCCGCACATTGTTTATGAATGTGCACGTTTGTGAAAGGATTAAGACCTGCAAAGGGGAGGATAGACCCCAAGTTCAGGACAGCAGTTACCTCTGAGGACGCAGGGAGGCATTGGAATCAGGAGTGTTACGCTGGGGTCGGGACTGTTACACTGGAGTCGCTGTTACGCTGGGGTCGGGACTGTTACACTGGGGTCGGGACTGTTACACTGGGGTCGGGACTATTACACTGGGGTCGCTGTTACACAGGGGCGCCTGCCTGGCTTGGTCGGTTCAGCGCCTGCCTTCGGCTCTGGCCATGGTCCCAGGGCCCTTTGCTACCTTTTCATCTGTCACTTTGTCCCTGCCTCCCGCTTGCTTCTGCTTCGTCCACACTGACTCGTGTCTGTGCTGGTCTGGACGACGCTTCGATTTCTTTCCGTGTGAGACTCCGTCCTGAATGTCCTCTTCATTTTCTACCGCTCCTTCTTCCCCCCTTGGCCTGGTGTGGCTGTTACTACAGTTGCTGCCTCTTAAACTTTTTTCCTGATAATTCCTCTTCTGTACCAAGTGGCTTGAGTTCCTTTCAAGCTTTCCTTTGCATCTTCACTGCCCGCCTGTACCCCGTGGACTTGAGCCACGTTGTGCCTGAGAACAGTTGTGAACTCACTGGCTCTTTCCCCCTTCCCTCCTACCAGATCAGTGTACATAACTTTCAGTGACTTCGAGAGTGTGCGGGGACTGCCTGCCTTCCGCTATAAGGTGCCTGGAGAGATACTAGCCAACAGCTCGGACAATGCCGGCTTCTGTGTGCCCAAAGGAAACTGCCTGGGCTCGGGAGTTCTGAACATCAGCATCTGCAAGAACGGTAAGGGCCCGGGGGAGGGACGTGATCCTATGCGCCTCGGACACAGGATTAGAGTTCCTCAGCAAAGAATGTGGTCAGCCCACGTGAAAGAGTGATTCCGACTTTTCCAGAATAATATTTCATAATATGGCTGTAGAATGGTAAACTACTGGCTTTTCTGCATTGCTTGCTTTTAAAAAAATGTAAGTTATAACTGACATATAACATTGCATTAGTTTCTGGTATACAATCTAACAATGCATGATTTGTATATATTGTAAAATGATCACTGCAATGAGTACGGTTAACATCCATCACTACACATAGTTACAAAGACAGATGTTTTTCTTGTGACAAAGACTCGTGAGACCTATCCTCTTAGCAAGCTGTAAACATGCAGTACAATTAACTGTAGTCACTATGTCGTGTACTACATCCCCGAGACCTTTATTTTGTAACTGGGAATTTGCATCTGTTGACCCCTTTTCCCCCAACCCCACCGTCTCTGACAACCTCTGATCTGTTTTCTGTTTCTATGAGCTTGGTTTGTTGTTGCTGCTGTTTTTAAGTTCCACATGGAAGTGAGATCGTAGATACTTGTCCTTCTCTGATTCATTTCACTTAGCATCATGCCCCCAAGTTCCATCCACGTTGTTCCACATGGCAAGATTTCATTCCTTTTGTGGCTGAATAGTATTCCACTGTGTGTGTGTGTGTGTGTGTGTGTGTGTGTGTGTACACCACAACGTATTTATTCATTCACCCATTGATGGACAGTTAGTTTATTTCCATATCTTGGCTATTGAAAATAATTCTGCAATGAACATAGGGTGCATATATCTTTTCAAATTAGTTTTTATTTTCTTTGGGTAAATACCCAGAAATGGAATTGCTGGATTGTATGGTAGTTCTGTTTTTAATTCTTTTAAGATTTTATTTTTATTTATTTATTAGACAGAGAGAGGGAGCGTGTACATGCAAGCAGGAGGAGGGCAGAGGGGGAAGGAGAGGGAGAATCTCAAGCAGACTCTGCCCTGAGCGTGGTACCTCACACGGAGCTTGATCTCATGACTCTGAGATCATGACCTTAGCTGAAATTGAGAGTCTGACTCTTAACCAACTAAGCCACTCAGGTGCCCCTATTTTTAATTTTTTGAGGACCCTTATATCATTTTCTGTATATATTTTCTATATATTGTGGCCACACCAATTTACATTGCCACCAGCCGTGCACAAGGATCCCCTTTTCTCTGCATCCTCACCAACACCAGTGGTTTCTTGTGTTGTTGATTTTAGCCATTCTGACAGCTGAGAGGTGATACCTCGTTGTGGTTTTGGTTTGCATTTCCCTGATGATTAATGATGTTGAGCACCTTTTCATGCCATTTGTGTATCTTCTTCGGGAAAAAAGTCTATTCGGATCTTCTGCCCATTTTTAAAATTGGATTGTTTGGATTTTCTTGCTCTTGAATTGCATGAGTTCTTTATATATTTTGGATGGATGTTAACCCTTTACAGGTACATGATTTGCAAGTATTTTCTCCCATTCAGTAGGTTGCCTTTTCATTTTATTGGTGGTTTCCTTTGCTGTGTAAAAGTTTTTTTTAGCTTTATGTAGTCCCATTTGTTTATTTTTGCTTTTGTTGCCTTTGCTTTTGGAGTCAGACCCAAAAAGCCATCACCAAGTCTTATGTCATGGAGCTTACTGCCTATGTTTCCTTCTAGGAGTTTTATGGTTTTGGTCTCACATTCAAGACCTTAATCTGTTTTGAGTGAATTTTTGTGTGTGGTGTAAGATAGTGGTCCAGTGTCATTCTTCTGCATGTGGTTGTCCAGTTTTCCTGACATTTATTGAAGACTCTGTTTTTTCCCCATCATATGTTCTTGGCTTCTTTGTGATAAATTAATTGGCCACATGTGCATGGGTTGTATTTTTGGGTTCTCTATTCTGTTCTAATGATGTACGTTTCTATTTTATGCCAATACTGTACTCTTTTGATTACTATAGCTTTGTAATATAGTTTGAAATCAGAGAGTGTGATATTTCCAGCTTTGTTCTTCTTTGTTAAGATTGCTTTGGCTACTTGGGGGTCTTTTGTGTTTCCACACAGTTTTTAGGATTGTTTATTCTATTTCTGTGAAAAATGCCTTTGGAATTTTTATAACAATTGCATTGAATTTGTAAATTGCTTTTGGATAGTATGGGCATTTTAACAATATTAGTTTTTCCAATCCATGAACATGGAATATCTTTTCCATTTATTTGTGTCTTCTTAAATTTCTCTCCTGTTACAATTTTCAGTGTATAGGTCTTTTACCTCCTTGCTTAGATTTATTCCAAGGTATTTAATTCCTTTTGATGTTATTGTGACTGGGATTGTTTTCTCTTTCTTTATTTTTTCTGATATTTTATTTGTCAGAGAGGAGGGGAGAGAGAGAGAGGAGAGGGAGAGAGAGAGAGAGAGAGAGAACCTAAGTAGGGGGAGGGGTAGAGGAAGAAGCAGGCTCCCAGCTGAGCAGAGAGCCCAATGCGGGGCTCAATCCCAGGACTCTGGGATCGTGATCTGAGCCGAAGGCAGATACTTAACCGACTGAGCCACCCAGGCATCCCTGGGATTATTTTCTTAATTTCTCTTACTGAGAATTCATTATTAGTGTTATAGTAACACAACTGATTTTTATATATTGATTTTTTTTTTTAATCTTGCAACTTTACTGAGTTTGTTTTTTAGTTCCAGCAGTTTTTTGATAAGAGTCTTTGGGGTTTTCTTTTTCTTTTTCTTTTTCCTTTTTTTTTTTTAAGATTTTATTTATTTATTGACAGATCACGAGTAGGCAGAGAGGCAGGCAGAGAGAAGGGGAAGCAGGCTCCCCACTGAGCAGAGAGCCTGATGTTGGGCTCAATCCCAGGACCCTGAGATCATGACCCAAGCTGAAGGCAGAGGCTTAACCCACTGAGCCACCCACGTGCCACCAGTCTTTGGGGTTTTCTACATATGATATTATGTCATCTGCTAATAGTGACAGCTTTACTTCTTTACCAATTTGGATGCCTTTTATTTCTTTATCTTGCCAGAGTAATTACTCTGGCTAGGACTTCCAATACTATGTTGAATAACAGTGGCAAAGATAGGTAACCATCCCTTGTTCCTGATTCTAGAGGAATAGCTTTAAGCTTTTCACTGTTGAGTATGATGTTAGCTGCGGGCTTGTTGTATATGACCTTTATTAGGTTGAGAGATGTTCCCTCTATACCTGCTTTATCATGAGTTTTTATCATAATGGATATTGAATTTTGTCATATTCTTTTTTCTGCATCTGTTGAAATGATCACTGATTTTTATCCTTCACTTTGTTAATGTGGTATACCCTGTTGTTTGCTTTGCAAATATTGCATCATCCTTGCATCCCTGAAGTAAATCCCACTTCATTATGGTGTACAATCCTTGTAAAGTATTGTTGAATTCAGTTTGCTAATATTTTGTTGAGGATTGTTGCATTTATGTTCCTAAGGGATATTGGCCTATAATTTTCTTTTCTTGTGGTATCCTTGTCTGGTTTTGGTATCAGGGTAATGCAGGCCTTGTGAAAATGAGCTTGGAAATGTTCCCTGCCCTTCTATGTTTTAGAATACTTTGAAGGATTGGTATTAATTCTTCTTTGAGTATTTGGTAGAATTCACCACTGAAGCCATCTGATCCTGGACTTTTGTTTGGTAAGAAGCTTTTGATTACTAACTCAATCTCCTTACTAATAATTGATCAATTCAGATTTTCTGTTTCTTCAAGATTCAGTCTTGGAAGGTTATGTTTCTGGGAATTTATACATTTCGTTTAGGTGGTTTGTTGGCATATAATTGTTCATAGTAGTCTCCCATGATCCTTTGTATTTCTGTGGTATTAGTTGTACCATCACTTCTTTCATTTCTGATGTATTAATTTGAGCTCTCTTTTTACTTGAGGAGTCTTAGCAAGAGTTTGTCAATTTTATCTTTTCAAAGAACCAGTTCCTTGCTTCATCGATCTTTCCTATTATCTTTTTAGTCTCTATTTAATTTATTTCCACTCTGATCTTTGTTATTCCCTGCTTCTTCTAACTTTGGGCTTCATTTTTTCTTCTTTTTCAAATAACTTAGCTTATTTGACAATTTCATGTTTCTTGAGATGGGTTACTTACCACTGTGAATTTCTGCCTTAGAATTCCTTTTGCTACATTCCATAAATTTTGATATGTTGTATTTTCACATTCATTCATCTCAAGGCATTCTTTGATTTCTGCTTTGACTTCTTTTTTGACTCATTGGTTACTCGAGATCATGTTTTATAGTTTCCTCATGTGTGAATTTTCCAGCTTTCTTACTATAATTGATTTCTAGTTTTATGCCATTGTGGATAGAAAAAAATGCTTGATGTGATGTCAGTCTTTTTAAATTTTTAAGACTTGTCCTAACATATAATCTGTCCTGGAAAATGTTTCACGTGCACTTGAGAAGAATGTGTATTCTGGTGCTTTTATATAGAATGTTTTTTATGTATCTAAGTTCATCTGGTCTCATGTGTCATTTAAGGCCAATGTTTCCTTTTTGATTTTCTGTCTGGATGACCTGTCTGTTGAGGTGAGTGGAGTGTTACAATCTCCTGCCATTATTGTTTGGCTATCTATTTCTCCTTTTAGGTCTGTTAATATTTATATATTTAGGTGCCCCCTATGTTGGGTGCATAAATATGTACAAATGTTATATCCTGGATGCCTGGGTGGCTCAGTCGTTAAGCATCTGCCTTCAGCTCAGGTCATGATCCCAGGGTCCTGGGATTGAGACTCACATGGGCTCCCTGATCAGCGGAAGGCCTGCTTCTCCTCCCACTCCCCCTGTTTGTGTTCCCTCTCTTGTTATGTCTCTCTCTGTCAAATAAATAAATAAAATCTTTTTTTAAAAATGTTATATCCGGGGCGCCCGGGTGGCTCAGTTGTTGAGCGTCTGCCTTCAGCTTGGGTCATGATCCCAGGGTCCTGGGATTGAG